AAAATGCAGATGAATGTATACTTATGTTATGTAGAATATGATAAGGTAGAGTACAAAGATCTGTTTGAACTGCTAGAAAGACTTGATTTATTTGGGAAAGATATTAGAATAATCCAGAAATTATACTAGGAGGAAACTGCTTGCATATGAATAGAAAAGAAATTGAGTGAGTAGGCAAAAATAGAAAGGAACATAAGATAAGGATGTGTCTTCTCTCCAGATTTACTCAGCCACTATAATGAAGCAATTTTAAGAGAACTAGAAGTCCTACCAACAAATTAGAGATGTCCAAAACCATATCTGGGAAGTGTTTTAACAGATAATGGAAAATGTTGCACCAGAATCCATAGGTGTGTTGGAATAGCAAAAGATGCTTTCTAAAAGCCAAGCAAAGTATTAAGCAAGAAAATTTTGTTAGAAACAATGAAATGAGTACTTAACTGTTATGCAATATTGTTCCTACTATATGACAATGAATACTGGACAATCTCCTCAAAGATGAAGTAGAGACTTGAAGCAACAGAAATTTTGTTCTACAGAAGAATGCTGAGAATACCGTGGACAAATTATGTAAGCAATCAAGAAGGTTAAAGAAATATAGAAGCAAAATGGACACTTAGAATCAGAAAGAGATAGTTGAAATTTTTAGAACACAATGAGGAAAGATGGCTTAGAAAATCTGACACTCATAGGACATATTAAAGAGAAGAAGCAGAGGGAAAAAACGAGAAAACGTTGCTCAGAGCTACAAGGGATAGAAGTTGTGGGGATGCATAAATACCCACATCCTGAAGGGAAACAACACATATAAAAAGACAACTGTGGAGCTAATAGTTTTGCTTTAATAACTGTATGTAATTAAATCATGCAATAATTATTAAATATAAAAAATGTCAAATATTACATGTTTAAAGTAAATATCATTTCAAAGGTCAGATAAATTATTGAAAAAATTAGGAATGCTTGATATTTCAGTACCTCCCCATGGACATAGTGTGGGATTCATGAGCATTTCAACAACCGTATGTGTGGGCAAAAAGCAAAAATTGCCCACTCTCTGATGAATGTCAGTAAAGTGTCAAAATAATAAAGTACCTGACCCTTCCTTTTTGTACATTGGGGAGACATTACTCCAGGGTTAGTATCCTCAGAGCAAGACTTGCCTTGTTTTTGCTCCATTGTGTCCGAAGGAAAAAAAAAACATAATTCTGCGACCTGCCACAAGACAAAAACACACCTGAGGATGAGTACAGATACTGCACTAAGTATTAAAAAAAAAAAAGAAACAAAAAAATGAAACCTCATTATAAACTGGAACAAATGTATCTATACAGTGGAACCTCAATTTAACAGACTAATAGAGGGGATCGTCTGCTAAATCTGTTTGTCCATTAATTTGAAACACTTTTTTCATGGTCTAAAAACACCCAGTACAGTACAAAATTATTATAAATAAATGTAAATACAGTATATATATAAGTTTATTTTATTTTTAAGTTACTGTATACCTTTAAATAAAGTTGGAAAAGTTTTAAAGTTAAATCAAGAGTCTCTTGGTTCTGGAACTGTTAATTTGAGGTTTACTGTACTTGTAAAATCCTGAAGACTTTGTTCCTGAGATAAATTATAATTGGACTCTTGTTTGTCTTCATTGTAATCACTTTCTCTATATTTTCTTTAGATAATCTTTTCCAGTATCTATCTCCTTTCCTCTATAAATCAGTCTGTCCATTCAAGTTTGTTATAGCAATTTACCCATGCACGCATGGACTCTCCTAGCTATAAATAGGAGCAGGTACTGCCTTTTAGAGAGGGAAGTTTCCAGCAGTCAGCTCTGACAATCGGACTAAACATTCTTGCTGTAACACTCTCGTTTGTATATGTTTGTATTACTGTTTCTGTTAATATATTTGTTTAACTCAATTCCTCTCTTTGTGTCTTTATTTCTGGCCCTAACAAGGCCACAACAATGTTGATGCTGTTTTGTTTCTTATGAGTTTGAGTTATGCAACAGGCACTGTGACCAGAAATAATTGTTCTTTTCAATTTTTTTTTTGTTCATATTACTATAAGCACTCTTGATCACCAATATCATGTTTTAAAATTAATTTTTAAAAAGTTAATAAATTCATTGTAAATTGATCCCTTCCTCTATCAGCAGAAACAAAAAAAAACAAAATATGCTCATTTTGTTTTGTCATAATATCTCATCTCTGAGATGAGATATGATTATTTACATTATTTGAACTGTTATTTTCATCTTCAATGCCATATTCACAACATTTCAGACATTTAACTGAGACATCTGGAAAAGGCATGGCACATGGAACTAGAACAATCTACTCCAGTGGATGAAATAAAGGGTTTGATTTGAAATTTCAATCACCTGAAAAAGGCCTCAGTGTCCAATGGCCAAAACATTATGAATATGGCAATGAAGATGAGGATAACAGTCCAAATAATGTAAATAATCATTTTGTTTTATAATCATTTCACCACAAGCAAAGTAATAATGCCATTAAGATTCAAGGGGCTATTAAGTGTGAAAAAGAATGAGAAAGATTTAGTGAGAAGAAAGGACAATAAAAGAACATTTTTCAGGAAGACAAAAGATGGTGATGAACATTACATTTAAATTCTTGAAGATTGTAGGTGGTAGAGAAGTGCCAGAGAAGAAATTATTAGAATAGAACTTATGGTTACATCTAGCTAGTTCAACAATGTGGTCAAGGTACCAAGTAGGAGAGCTCATTAGAACAACTCTCATGAAAATATTTATAGAAAAGGCAGAGGGAAGCCACATCACAGCAATAGGAAAGTGACTGAAGTCAAGATACCAGGTTTATTATACAATATTCTTTGGTTTTTATTGAGGATCTGAAGATATGAAGCACCAGACCAAATATGGTAACAAATTTAAATGCATGGCCGAATGGTAGATTTAATACAATACAGCAAATCAACTTTCCCAACAGCAGACCTAGCAATTGATTCAATATAATCATTCCAATCCATGTTGGGAGAAAACATGAGACTAAGAAGGTACAATGAGTTGCTCTCCTGGAGGTTAGCATCAACCATGCTGTTGGAAGGCGAAAAGGGTTCTCTATGATGATTAAAAGATAATAGGTTTTTTTTTTTTTTTTTTTTTTGAGAGGTGTTAAAATTTACAGGCCATTTCTTGCCCTGATTAACAACTGATTGTAGGTCATTTTCAAAAGCAGGTCTCAGTTTTACTTTGTTGAAACCATTGGACTTTCTATTAAGACAGGGAGAAGTAGTTGTGTCATTATCATAAATGACTAGTTGGGTACTAATGATATCGGGAAGATCATTGAAGATATGAAACAGTGTAGGTCCAATGATAAATCTGTGGGGATGTGATTTTGTAAAATATAAAGAAAAAATAAATATTGAAATTCATCATCTGTAATTTTTTTTGCATATATCACTATCAGTTGAGAAATTCAGATTTTTTAAAAATTTATTTTTTAAAATTTTATTGAATTTCTTCGTATGAACATATTTGTTTTGGTGTTCTTTGGGGAATTAGTTTAAAATGAATTTTTATGGCAATCTGGATCTCGTAATAATTTAATATTTTCTTGATATTCATCATCTGAAGCTTACAGCCATATCACATTGAAATGCTGGTTCTTGTATGATAACTGAAGTTAAGCATCATCAAGCCTGGTCAATGCCAAGATGGATGACTACTTAGGAATACCAGGTACTAAACACTTAGATATGCAGGTGGTGTAATGGATAGAGCTTGGAATTGTTAGTTGGATAGCCAAGTTTTAATTCCATTCAGGTTTGTTATATTCTCTTACGTGCAAATACTCTTGGGAGAGGTATGAATCCACCACTTCTTCCTTCAGCTATGGGTTAATTAGTAGGACATATATCAGTAAATCGTTATTATCTCCAAAACATTCTTAGACTAAAAAATATTTTCTGGCTTTAAATTACCTGCAAAATGTTGATAAGTCATAAAAAATAAATCAATTTCTCCTGTTCATTATCTCTCAATCTCTACTTTTATGTGCTGTGTCCCCTCCTCAAAATGTGGGCGTTCATGGCTCTCCACTACTTCATAGCCTTTCTAGCTCTACTTTTTTTCTTCATTATCAATCTGAATCTTTATATTTTCTCTCTCTCTCTCATATTTACCTACCTACCAATCTGTCTGTCCTTACTTTTATACTAATTCAGATATGGAGATGTAGCAAATAATACAATTGAACTTTGTCTCTCTCTCTCACTCTCTCTCTCTCTCTCTCTCTATATATATATATATATATATATATATACCTTTGTGTGTAAATGAGAAAGTGTAAAAGGCTAAAACGAATGTTCATATACGATATGCACACTGAGTATTTAATTACTCATTGAATAAGAAATTCAACGTGAAAATGTGTATTTTTAATGTATGTGGATACATGTTTGTGTGTGCGGATATGTAAGTCTGTCCATATGTAAAAGTACAAATATGCGTATTTGTTAAGTATATGTACACCTTTTCCCCCTTCAGTCTTCCCATCTGGCTTTACTGCTTTCTCCCCATTGTCGCAATATCAATATATCTATCTTCAAATAATCCTTGTCTCAATGGTGAAACTGACTGCAGCAACTTAGGTATCGAGGCAATACAAGATTTAAGTCAATAACTCCCAAATTAGGAAAAAAAAAAAAAGTTGTCTTCCTCTACCATCCGGAAGGTATGAACCTACCAACGTACAATAAAAAGAAAAAGAAGGATAGGAAGTAGAGACATGACAAAAGTACGCACAGCAAAACACAACAAAGCACAATGCAATTGTTTTCATTTCATTTCATTTTCTCTTTCTTTTTTTTTGTCATATTCTTGACTGTTTCTATGTCATACCTTTTATTTTGTCCTCATGATTTGATTGATTGACTCTTCACTCTTCTTCTTCTTAAGCCTAAGATCTAATCCGAATATTTTACGATCCTCGGAGACTTCTCGGGGCTTCTTAAAGGCATGACATCTTCCCGGAGGTCACCTGACCTACAACAAAGTACTTGGATGATAGCGAGGAAGAAAGAAGTGCACGATGAGAAAAAAGGAGTAGGTGGTAGAAAGGAATAGGTGTGGTGGTTGGTGGATAGGATAGATGCAAAGAATGAGAGACAGATTTTAGAAAAAGGGGGAGAGCCTCTTACCAAATATTAAGGAAAGTGACGCTAGATTACAGTCACAAAACACTTATTGTACTTATTCGGATTTTTCATAAGCCGGTGAATATACTATCTATTTCACTGCTTATATTGTTTTAATGTTTCTTTATTATTTTTTTTTTTTTGTTCTTCTATATTTCATTTTTATCCCCCCAACCAAGCACAGTTTCCCCTCACAGCATTATGGAAAAGATGCTCCTTTCGATTGATAGTAAATGTTGGATGGTGTAGAGCAGGAATTGATATAGATGGAGAGAGATTTACAGTAGCGTCAGGACAATTGTGCCGGTGGGGAAGTCTGAAAGAGAGGAAGAGTTGGGGATATTGAAAACAGTCACCGAAGGAAGAGGACACAGGATAATAATACCTTAGCACTTTGCACCAGATGGACTCTCTCTCTCTCTCTCTCACTCTCTGGTATCTAGCATTCTTTCTTCTTTCCCCCACACTCCCCGTGGGATACAAAAAAAACTGGAGAAAGAAGAGGGATGGAGTGAAGTTATTTAAAACTGCAGGAAGGGAGGAGTAAAAAAAAAAAAAAAAGTAAAGAAAGGTGGGGAAGATGCTACATGTGATCAAGAGATCTGGTGAGGCAACCATTGGACACATTGTCTCAAGTTATTTACAAGAATTTCAGCTAACGGAACCCAGTAGACAGGCAGACAACATAAAGCTGCTGTGTCAAATTCGTTTGTTGTTTGGGATAAAGGACTAGTGAAGGGTACAATAAATAAATAAAGAGAGAGAAAGAAAAATATGGAAGGAGGGGAAGAAGAGAAAGTTGAAAATGGTGAAACGGTATGTATGTCCCCAAAGATTACAAAACGAAACATTAAATGTATTGCTCAGAGAAATTTTCATTTCTACATTTTGATGCTGAGGCTGTAGTGGTGGTGGTGGCAGTGGTGGTGGTCTTGGCTTCCTTTGGCTTTGATTGTAGCCATGACTGAAATGTCATCGGAATGACAAATAAAATGTGTTTTAAGAAAGACATCCTATTTCCCAAACGTGCCATGTGTGACAGTGTACCTTGCTTCATCTCTAGAACCACTAGAAATTTGATTAGATATTGTTTGGAAAAGTTGACATTTATATTATTTTGATGATGTAGATTTTACAAGGACCTGAATGCTAGTCAGTATTGCAGCATGAAAAAACAAACAGATTTTCACAAAATTAGGATGTCTATATTTAAGCTAGTAGATAGGTTCACAATCCTCCCTGGTTTTTTGAGCAGGAGTAGAGGTTTATCTCTTGCTTCCGGTTTAGGATTGTGTTTCCGGTTCCTTCTAAAGTAGGTACCTCCATGAAATCACTAAAATTCAGTATACCATGATGAAAATATGCTCCAAATGTAATGAAAACAATTTTAGCGTCAAAATCTTTGTTATTATTAAAAGGAAGGATCAAAGTATTTTTGTGAATATTTAATTAAATTTTTTACTCCTTTTTAGAACATTCAAGATTTTGATTAAAAAACTTGTTTTTCTTGTGTCAGCAATTATACTTACTTTTGGCATACCAAATTTGAGTCTCTTTTTTTGTGGTGACAGACACATTAAATTGGAAATTCTTGCAAAAATCAAATAATTGTCAGATTTTAATTAAATTTTCAGAACTTATTCACAAATTAATTAGATTATTTTAAAAAAATTTTTACCAGAAAATCTTGGAAAAAAATTTATTTTTGCATGTGTTAGTTAATTAATTTTATGAAAACTTAAGAACTTCAACATGATAATTTTTAGTGACTATATTAGTTAAATGTAGAATTCTTTGAAGAATTCAAATCATCAAATTTTTTTTTGCAAAATTGGATCATATCTTACCGAAAATCTGTTCTGAATCAAAAAAAAAAAATGCAATAAAACTTTTTGAACTTAAAGAACATTAAGTTTATCAAAGAATGGAACATGGTTTGAAAAGTTTTTTTTTTTTTAATAATGCAATCATAAAAGCAGGCAAATAAAAACTTGAACCAACTGCGATAATTACTGTTTCCTGTTTAAGCACTGGGGTAATGTGAAACGTTAATAAACAGAATAATCTTTAAAAAATTGTGGGGTGTGGTCGAAAAATTCCACCACCCCCAAAAAAGTAAATGTTCCCCACTTTTTATCAGGCACCTAAGAGTAAAGAAATCAAGATCTTAAAAAAAATTTTTTTAAAAATATTGTTCACCTAATACAAGGTTTAAGAGCCACTCAACATAGAGGGTTATTCAATGGGTATTTTGTAACGTCATATAGGGAGGGATCAAGGGTTGCGTATTATGAGGATATGTATGATAGATATCAGTTGACTCTCAGCTTGAAGCAGTTATGGTTGTAATGATTAAGGAAGTATCCCTTTAAGAGTTCATTTCACATTATTCCTTACCAATGGAATATGAAGAAACTGAGGATGAGCTGACTCTGTCTACATGGCATAGTGAGCCCTAACTGTGAAGGTCTGAATTGGTGGAAGCAAAGAATGTAGCTCACCTGTTTTTTGTCTTTTTTTTAACATGGTACTTCATCATGTTGTTGTTTTACGTAAGTCCTGTAGACTTCACAGTGGGAGGAGTATAAGGCCACAACCTCCTCATTGCTCTTGTGGTTTCTGTCATAAGTAGGTTTTTATAGGGTGGAGTAGCTACTCTAGGTTGGAATTCAGATCTATCCTTCCCTTAGATTGATTGCCAACCAATTCTAGAGAGGCCAATATGCCCAGCTATTAATGTTTAGCTGGGTAGATAAGAGATAAATACATACATTTCCAAGGGTAACTGTGTGAAAGTGAATGCAATAACCTCAGCTGGGATTTGAACTTGACATACCAATCCCATTTTCTGTTCTGTGCTGATTTACTAAACATAGTTTAGATGTGGCACCAGGCCAAAAGTAGGGAACACCCAATGAGGATTGAAATCACTATTCAGTTGTAATTAATCTAACAAGACAAATTTACTAAACATTACTCCATGCTGAAGTGCTCTGTATGTGCACATCCATTGATCATGTTGAATATAATCAGAGAAAGACTTGGTCCATACCTGAATTAGCACACTTTTTTTCTTAATCATTTGGGGATAAAGGGGTTACTGAGTGTGAAAGACAATGAAAAAGCATTAGCAAGGAGAAAGGACAGTAAAAGAACAAAAATATCTGAAAATTGTAGTAAAGCAAGAAAAAGTAAAATTGTAGGAAAGCAAGAAGCTGGAAGAGAGTTCCACAGGTGAGAAGTACAAGAGAAGAAATTATTAGAATAGAACTTATGGTTACATTTAGCTAGTTCAACAGTGAAATGATGAGAGCTAGTGGCCAAACTAGTTGAAATCCAAATTAGTGACATTCTGTCATCGCCAAGCAGACCCTGTCTATCATAGTAAACATGTGTTATCTCAGGGTGTTTTTTTACTGAGTTTTAAATTCAATCCAAACCTCAAGAGTAATTTTTACATACAATCCATCGTTAAAGATGCTGGAAAAATAGTTGATTTCCTCTACCGCTCAAGTAAGTTTTTTTTTTTTTCTTTTTAAGCGTTTCACCCCAAGCAAGGCGGGAAGCCACTAGGACGCAAGAGGTTACAGAAAATTTAGAGCAAGATCAGATAGGATTGATAGAAGAAAGGATGAGGAGAAGGGTAGTGGATAGATCAAGGCAACTGGAGATAACGATTGACATTACACTTGAATAGCTGGAGATTATAGCTCTCAGAGAAACTGGAATAGGGAAGGGAGTTCCACAGGCGAGAGGTGTGAGACATGAAGCTATTGGAGTAAAAGAGATGGCTACATTTAGGAGTTTCAACAGTGAAGGAGTGAGAGTGGGATGCAAGACTCGTAGGGCGCTTAAACTCATGAAGTCTGGGAACCAGCGAATGCAGCTCCTTGGAGCAATTGCCATGAAAATATTTGTAGAACAGACTGAGAGAGGCGACGGCATGTCTGTGAGAAAGTGACTGTAGACGAGATGCCAGAGCAGGGTCAATTATATTGCATATCCGCCTCTGGAGCCTATCAAGAACCCCGAGGCAAACAGAAGGGGCACCAGACCATATATGGCAGCAATACTCCATGCAAGGGCGAATTGTTGGTTTGTAGATCTGGAGGATTGATTCCGGGGAGAAAAATTTCCTGGCGCAGCAAATGGAGCCAACCTGACACTTGGTGTTATCCTTTTCCCTTTACAAGAACCAGATTAGACCTAAAATTGAGTACTGCTGCCATATATGAGCAGGATCTACCCAGAAAAAGTACAACCTTACATATAAAGTAGAATTTCACAATTTCTATTATTTTTATTTTATATTGCAACATTTCAATCTTCAAGTTGTATTGCAAGAATTTGTGAGCGCTTTTTGTTAAACAGCACCAAAAGCTAACGTTCATAATTTTAATGGTACAGAAAATAGAATTACTACAATTTTTATACCCTCTACTTAATATTATTATTTACTAGTTATTTACTTTCTTGCTTATAATATTTCTGGTCTATGAGAATGTTTTCGTAAACCTGCTTTTTTCTTCTATGTTTCAAAAAGATTGTCTGAAAGATAAGAATTCTGACAAAAATAAATAAATGCACTGTTCGATATATGAATATCCACTAGAAATAAGCATTTAAAGTGATATATATATATATATATTTTTTTTTTTTCAGTTAATAACTAATACTACTTACTAATTAACCCATAGCTGGGGGTGGGTTCATACCTTTCCATTTATTTGCATGTAAGTGAATATAATGAGCTCAAATGAAATTGAAACTTGGCTCTCCAAATAACAATTCCGATTATCCATTAATGCATCCAGTATTCCCAAGCAGTCACTAGTTTAGGTACTGACCAGGCTCGATATTGCTTAACTTCGTTGATCATACAGGAACTGCTGTTTCAACATGATGTGACTGTAAGCCCAAATATAGCAGGAGTACACCAGATAGAAAAAAGGTTTGCTGATAAGATGTGGCAAAGAATAAGAACATGTCATGTAAAGTAGTAAGTAAAAGAAAAATGATTGTACAATATTATGGAATCTCTCTGTAGATAAGCTATAGAATCTGCTGTCAAATCTCTGATAATAATCTGTCAATGACAAAGAAATCCAAAGCAAAACTGTTCCATCTCACAAAGGTCTGCTATTTCTGTTTGTTCATAAAACAATGGCATTAAAAATTAACTTAAAAAAAAGAAACAAACACCAATTGTCATCCCACTTAAAACTAAATAAAAATCATATAATCTGAGACTACATACATGATAAAACCATAATGTAATCTGATATGTCACACAGCTCCCCCAAGTGAACTATCTCTATGAGTCGTACAAAGAATTAAACAACAATATGAACTTTCTTATGCTCACATGTTGCTACTCGATCCAGCTGGTCTGAAACTTTATTATAAGGAGCTTTTTCAGCAGATTATCTAAATATTAAACACACAAAACAAACCTGAGATACAAAGACAAGATATAAGATGAACAAAAGTATTTTGTCTTGAAATTTCCCTACTTGCATTAAGAAATATTTCTTTCTTATAATTAATTCCTTTTTTTTTATTGATCACTCTATACGGCAATGTCCTACTAGATGATGATATGAAAAACAAATCAAGAATTTATTTCCAGAAAACTTTTTCTTTTCCTCTTAAGACACTCACAAGGGATTGAACTCTCTATCACTTGATCTCTAGGTAAATACTCAATCAGATGATATATTCCCATTAAAAGAAAATGGCAAAAGAATCCTGCAATAAGATTATATTGCTCATCAAATGCATTGTTTCACAGAGAGTGTCAGTGATTCCTTGTGACACTAACAGCAGTTTACAGAATTTAAGTAGTATCTCC